TTTTTAAGGTCGATGAATCTTATGAGATCCAACAAGAGTATCACATAGGATCTCCATGCAAGAATTAAAAAAGCACACAAGTGCTTAAACTTATTTTGTCGATGCTTCTAACTACCTTACTATCAATAATACAACAACATTCCAAGTTAGTGTCTCTTCCACTTTTGCCACAATGAACAATACAATGACGAATGCAAACACCTCTACTATAGTGGCAATCACATTTGCCTCCATCAATGTTAATAAAGTCACCACAACCTTCTTATTCAACCTACTTTATTTCTTCATCAAGAATATAACATCATATGTTCTTTTTATCGTAATAACCCTCATCATATATTTGTTGTCATGATTTCTTATTATGGCATATATCATTGCTTTGGTCATCAACCCTACTCCCTTCAAATATTTGCCTTCTAATGGCAATAATATACATTATGAACATTTAAGAGCCTTTGAGGTTTCATATAACTTAGAATTAACATCGTTGATGGTGGTTTTAATGTATTTATAAACGTTCCCAGGACTATTAGGAAGGATGATTAAGCTCTAGCTAGGTTTTATAATAGTTAGTCAAGAGTAAAATTAGTTAAGATCTAATCAATTTTCTTATGCATGTTTAGGGTTTTAATGAAGATAAAATATCAAACTCTATACCTATAAAATAATTAAAATGATTAGAGTAATGTGTATAGGTAGATAATATCTATAATATTTCATAGTTTTTTTGGGGCTCTTAAGAGGTTATAAGGGGTCTTGAAACATAATTAGGTCAAGTTCTTTGGTTTGTAGCGCTTCGTTGGGTTTTGAGCTTTAGAAGAAGGATTTAAGGTTGAGATTAGGGGTTGGAAACTCTTACAGTTAGAGAATTGTGTCTATAATATTTCTATAATTTTTTAAACTTTTCCAAGGGATTTAAGGTATTCAAGTGGCTAATGTAACAAGATTAGGTATTATTTGTGCAAGTTGCGGCTAATTCTAAGATGTTTTTGCTTGGGATCGTTGAGAAGATGGTGGAAAAATAGTTTTATCTTGTAAATGAGAGTTAGGAGAAGTTATTCACAATAATGAATAGTAAAGATTTGGGCATGCATAAAATTAATCACTCATCAAAATGACTAGTCAAAGAGATCATAAAATCTCCTCCATGGTCGACTTCTTAGCCTTCACACTCACTTTGAATGAATTACATATTTCTTTAAAATACATTGATCATTTCTTCTCATTCTATAAAACATATGTATTCTTTACCACAATCCATTTCAATTACACAAAGAAATTGAAAAAGGAAGGAGGATGACCACTAGAGAGTGTATGAGAGGGTGACATACTCACCATATAACTATCTCATCCTTTTTTATTTGGCTAGCCAAAAAAGGATGTACCATTTGTATTTGACTAATTTTATGTACATAAATATGTAGACATTAATAAAGATTAAATTTCCTACATATTAAAAAACCTAAAATTAAAAATTTAAAAAAATTCAAATTACAATGTTTCAAATTCAAAAGTTCAAAGTATACAAGCAATCACAAATTTAAATTTATAAATACATTACATTAAACAATGATCATCACATACATAAAATGTGAATTTGGATTAATATACTTCATCTTGCACATTAACGTAGAGCATTGATTATTAATAGTGTTCTTCTTGCTTCGAGCTCAAGTGGTCAGTCTAACACCACTTACGCAAAGATCTTGTGTCGCATTAGAGTTCTTGCACTACTATGATCAAAGAGGTATATATTATGATATAGTGGAAGAAAGAAGATGATGAGTTTTATCACTTTTAAACATAAATTTATAGACACTCTAAAGTAATAGTGAAGAGTAGTCCTCAATATATACACCACATTATGACCACCCATATGCTAATAAATTATTAAATGCTAACATGGTTAGTTGTTGAATTTAAACCATGATCATAAAGTTACCAATTTGTTATCAACTTCTTGTCACACCAAGCACCAACTAGCTTTATAGCCATCGTTGATCAAACAACAAACATTCATTTAAGTATTCTAAACGAGTTTAGGTTGGGCTCACTCTTGCCAATTTGACCATCCAAAAACTCTTAGTCATAATGGTTAAAGCTGATGATACTCCATTCTAGTGCCCTAAGAGATATTGCATTTATAACATAACATAATAACATGCATTGATGCTAATTCCAACTATCATGATGCACTATACGGCCATCTTAAATTCAAAATTATATATAGTATTACACCCCTGTTGCATATGATAAATGACTCCCACATGACTAAAAGTTGGTATTTATTGCTCCCTTACATGGAGGGATGATGATCTACCATTTTTATGTTAACGAGGACATGTATTTCATGATTTCTCTAGCAACATAATGTGCCACCTCTGATGCTAAACATATTAACAATGACTCACATGTCCTTGTGCCTTTAATACACATAATATAATGTAAAAAAGTATGATAAATACATATGACATATTGAGATGAGAACTTAAGCTTTAATATCTAACTAATAGAGACATGAAGCCTAGAAATCTAACAATTACAATCCATCTCATGATCGGTGAAATATGTTTTTCCTTTATAGTAGGAATATAATACAACATTGAATCACCTAAAACAAGTGAGTTGAGTTCTTAAATTATATCACTTCTTGATATGGAGTTTATGCAAAGCAAGAAAATGATCCACTATAGAGTTAATTGATCCATGTCTCGATTGTTATTTCTACTTGCCTTTTTTTTACCATCGATAAACATATATTGACAAGTCAGAATGCAGTGATGGATACCATTGATAAAAGAAGACACACTATTAGAAGAATTTCAAAAAAATTGTGTAGTATAGTGATAAGCAGAAAAAAATATTCTAGCTCGCATGTAAAATGAGAGTTAACACCCTCAAAGTTGCCGGCCACATTATCAGTGCTTATTATTTCACATATTCTATTCAATTGGTCGAGTCTGCTATAGAAGGGGAGTTAATTGAGCATATGAGTCATAGTCTATGTTGAGCCTTTTAAAATCAAATTAAATATTCTTAAATTGAATTCAACCAAAATATTATGCATAATAAATGTGTAACCAAAGTTCAAGGCTTTGTTTGAGACGACTTTCTTATTGTTTTCTAAAGCATTGTACTAAAAATCTGCTTAAAGAAGCAATAGAAAAATCGTCTCAAACGAAGCTTAAGTAACATAAACGTGTGTGGCTTATGATGTTTTCAGTGGTGGAGAGGGTGAAGGTGCCAAGTACGATTTCAAGAGACTATATGATGGAATATATGCCAAATAAGAGAGGATGTAGTTTAAGATGAGGTGCTGAGTTAGATATATGAGGCTATATAATAAGCATTAAATTGACTAATTAAAATAAGAGGTCAATAATATGACAAATTAGTAAAGAATGCACATAGACTACACCATATCCCTGGTATATTTAGGAAATGAAGCCTACTTGCCTATTGAGAAAGGCTACATACTTTAGTTTCATGCATCATATATTATATCTCAACACAATTAAATTATCAGGCTAAAATAAAATTATTATTATATATACTTTATATATATATATATATATATATT